ACGACCCTGGACAACTCTCGAGTCATATTAGGAAGGTGTACTCCCCCTCGGGTCCCAGGACCAAAGTTCCCAAGCACATCAGCGTCATCGTTACCTACGCCAGTGTGTCATCCCGTCTTCAAATGTTGCCCGACACCGGCGCTGATGCTACAGTCATCGGTCCCCAGCATTTGCAATGTTTGGGGCTCTCTCCAAGTGATCTAGGACCGCCCCCCAAGGATCTCCGCTTCACTGCAGATGATTCACAGATGGCCCCAGCCTAGGTTCACTCCAAGCACAAGTCACCTTTGGCAACAGGTCGTGTCAAGCCTGGATTGATGTGCATAACTGTGTCCCGACTTCTTTGCTGTCCTACAGACATTGTCAAGAGTTGGCCATCATCTCCCAGGGCTTCCCCAAACAGGGTGCACGAAGGGAGCAGCAACGACCCTGCTGTCGCCCAACCCCTACCTCTTGCCAGTGACACCTCTCCTTCGGATGCTCGGAAGTACTTCCTGAAGGAATTCAGCGACGTTCTGGTGACCAAGTCCGCTCTGGAATCCAAGCCTCTCAAAAAGATGGTAGGCCCCCCTATGAGGATCCACTTGAGGGACGACGTGAAGCCCTTCGCTATCTACACCCCTCGACTGGTCCCCCTGGCCTTCCGCGATGCGGTCAAAAACGAGCTGGACTCCATGGTCGCCCAAGAAATTATTGCACCAGCAGGTGATGACCCGTCTCCATGGTGTCACCCTATGGTAGTCGTTGCAAAACCCAAAGGTGGTGTTCGGATCACCACTGACCTCTCCAAGCTCAACAGCCAGGTGTCTCGTCCTGCGCACCCTTCTCCCACGCCCTTTGCAGCTATACGTAGTGTGAACCCGAAGGCGCGCTACTTCACGAGGATGGACGCCCTGTGTGGATACTGGCAGATAGAGCTTGCCGAAGAAGACTGACCACTTACAACTTTCATCACCCTGCATGGACGTTACAGTTAATGCCGTGGCCCCATGGGATTCGCCGCTACAGGAGACACTTTCTGTCTTCGAGGTGATATGGCTCTACAAGGTCTGGCAAACTGCGTGAAAGTGGTCAACGACATACTCGTATACGATGAGGATTATATGGATCACCTCTGCCGTATCTACGAGGTATTCAACAGGTGCCGGAAGCACGGCATCACCCTAAATGCCGACAAGTTTGTTCTGCCCAGCTCTTCAGTGGACTTTTGTGGGTACGCCCTCTCAGGGAATGGTATTGCAGCTGACCCGGAGAAGGTCTGCGCCATCACGGATTTCCCCACCCCTGGACTAGAGGTCCTTCATCGGTCTCGTCAACCAGTTTGCGGAGTTTTCGCCGGACATCTCCGCAGCTGCCCAACCACTTCGCCCCCTGATGAGCCACAAGAGGACATTCCTGTGGACCCCTGACCACGACAAGGCCTTCCACCAAGTGAAACAGGCCCTGTCTAGTCCACCTGTCCTCGCCACGTTTGACCCAGCCTTGCCGACGGTTCTGCAGACAGATGCCTCACGCTTGTACGGCGTGGGATACGCCCTATTGCAGGATCATGGTGGAGGGCAGTTCCGGCTCATCCAGTGTGGCTCGCGTTTCCTCTCTGACACCGAGACGCGCTACGCCACTATTGAGTTGGAGCTGTTGGCTGTGGTTTGGGCGATGTCCAAGTGCAGGTTTTACCTCATAGGCCTGCAACACTTTCACCTAGTGACCGACCAACGCCCACTTGTCCCGATCCTCAACCACTACACGCTCGACGCCGTTGAGAACCCTCGCCTCCAGCGTCTGAAGGAGAAGCTCTCGGCGTACATCTACACAACAGTGTGGCGTGCTGGTAAGGAGCTCTGCATCCCTGATGCCTTATCCCGCTCTCCTGTCAGCCGCCCTACTCCAGAAGACCATGTGCTCGACGCCGACCTCGCTCTTTCCGTCAGGACTGTGGTCACCCTACACGCCGTCCATTCTCTTCGTTCGGACCTGTCACCAGATGACAAGGCGATGGAGGACCTTCGAACAGCGGCACGAGATGACCCTTCTTACGTCCGACTTGTCGAGTGTGTGAGGAATGGATTCCCTAGCAACCGCTATGACCTACACAACACCCTGCTCCCGTATTGGAAACTCCGCGATGAACTCTACTGCGACGGAGACCTTGTTCTGTACGGAGCACGTGTAGTTGTCCCTGCTGCCTCACGTCCCCGCCTCTTGGCTCGCCTTCACGACAGTCACCGTGGAGCTGAGGCCACCAAACGACGTGCACGACAGACTGTGTTCTGGCCCGGCATCGACTCCGACATCTCCAATGTTGTCCGTACGTGTGAGCCCTGCCAAGTATTTCAACCCAGCCAGCAGCAGGAACCCTTCATGAGTGACGACAACCCCACCCGCCCCTTTGAGTCTGTGTCGGCCGACTTTTTCTGTGTGTCAGGAAAGTCCTTCCTCGTTATCGTCGACCGTCTCTCTGGTTGGCCGGTTGTCATCAAGTGCGATAATGACACGACGTCTGCCGCCACCATCAGCAAGTTCCGGTACTACTTCCGTGACGTGGGCGTTCCTGTGCGCCTGCGAACTGACGGAGGGCCCCAGTTCACAAGCCGGGACTTTGTTGTGTTCCTTGACCGATGGGGAGTCCGGCATGTGTTGTCATCGCCCCATTACCCGCAGTCCAACGGCCACGCTGAGGCTGCTGTCAAATCCCTGAAGCACCTCATCCTTAAGGTGGCCCCTTCTGGGAATATTGACTGCGAGGCCTTCGACCGGGGTCTTCTCGAACTCCGCAACACACCTAACTACACCGGACGCTCCCCTGCCCAGGTCTTGTGTCCCTGCTCACTCTCAATCCTTCTCCTAGGAGTGGCAGGTCAAGACAGAGGATTGTGATCGCCGAGCCGCCAAACGTGTTCATGATGTCGTCGCCCGCTACAACGACCACGCCCATCCTCTTCCCAAGTTGAGTGTCGGCACCCAAGTCCGTGTTCAGGACCCGACCTCCCTACGTTGGGACAAAGTGGGCGTAGTCATGGGTCTCGGTAGGTCATGGGACTACCAGGTGCGGTTACCCAGTGGTCGTGTGTGGTGGAGGAACCGCCGTTTTCTCCGCCCCGTAACAACGCCTTCTGCTGACCCCGCCACCAGTGTTGAGTCCAATACCCTCCCCAGTGATCAAGTCCCTCGATGCTCAGAACGGATCCAAAAGAAAAGGTCCGCTCAAGACTTTGCTATGAGCGTATAGGGAGGGGGGGAGGGAGGTGTATGTATATTATGTATGCTGTATGTATATTATGTATGTGCTCCATTTATATACATTATTCATTCAGCCTAGCTAGCAGCGTGTGGCAATGTATTTACCATGTCCCACACGCTTAATTAATGTGCCTGGCGACATATGGAAGCTGCTAATGTATCACTTGCCACATGTCGCCTGAAAGGCTAGTTGACCCCCAGACAGAGTAAGGAGAGCCGCCTCGCTTGTGTATCTCTGTTTGTCCATTAAATAGAACCTACGAAAACTCTACAGGTGTTTGTGTTCGCTCCTGTAGATAGAACTTGGTACCCAGAACATATACAGCCTCCACAAAGAGGCTGCCCATGGGCCTCCACAGGTCTAAATCCGGCTCTGATTCCCTCCCTAGTTACCAACAATATTGATTGCACAAAGTGGGCTGGGCTTTGAAGTGGAGGGAAATTATGGAGTAAAAACACGCAAAAACTAACAAAACCTCCTAACTAGAGAAACCTAACCTTCTAGCCCCCTGGAACCCCGTTGTGTAAAAGACTTACCTTAATTAACAGTTGCTAGAGGATAAAATGATGCTACTTGCAGGGGGACGTGGTGAAGTATAGCTTTGTGATCGTTGTATTCGGCTTGGGACATGTTCAGAGAAATTTTTTTTCATAATGTTCCTTCTTATTGCCGGCAAGAAGAACCAAACATTTGATATCCTTCAACAATCGATCTACATTTTGCGTATAAACGCCTGTAGCACTTTACAGAGGTTGGCAGAATACCATGAGCCTCAAAAATGTCTATGGCGGCGGCTTCGATTTCAAATACACGATGAATGGTTTGCCAATCTGAGACAGAACACCAGTGCAGAGAGCAGCCATCTTGCGACTAACCAATTCGAAAATCTGAGCATGCGCAGGAGTATTACACGACATCGAGAGCAACGCTGATTGACTAGACTTAGTCACGTGACACCGAGAGCAACGCTGATTGGATAGACATAGTTACGTGTCACTGAGAGCAATGCTGATTGGCTACAAACATGTTATCGACATGCATGTAAAATATATTGAAATTTCTGTGTTGTCATAATTATCAAGGGCATTATTTACATATGTACTAAGAATGACATTCTTCCCTGAGAACTTTAATGACCTGTCATCCTCACCAGGAGAGAGAGAGAGGAATCACCTGTTTGTTCATATTTTTACACTACTGTATTACATTCAGAAAGGAATGTTAGAGGAAATGTGTATAACATCCTCAGGTAAGGGACATTATGACCCAGAATACTCACAGGTGTGTAGTTCAGGATCCCAACACTGCCGGCGCTGCACTATTTCATTAAGTCTCCATACTGACTCGTCCGGAAGGAGACGCGGATTTTTTGAGGTGACTGTACCTTCTCAACATCCCATACCTCAAATCTTTTGTGCTCGAAATTAAGATTAAATCCCGCTGGGCTCCCGGACTATAAACTAAGCTATGGTAATCGACCTGCTGTAAGATATAAGTCACACTTGAGTACAGTACGTACAGTTCCTATCCATATATACGTTAGGGTACCAAGTTATTGTTACTATCAACACATGTAGATTACCATACCTGTACTTAACAACTAAACGTGCAGTTGTACTCATGATCCTTTGTAAACATTTTGAATAGAAATAATCAAACCAAACCTAATTTAAACCAGCATAACTTAAACAGTGCCTGACCTAACCAACCTAACTTATTTAAAGTTAAGGTTAGCTGAGTTAAGGTAAGATATACTCACATATAGTCAGGGTGGACAACGATCCGGGAGATCTCGTAGGTGGCAGGCTTGGAATTGGTCTCGTTGTCTGTACTGAAGTCCCGTTCCCCGAGCAACACTGTCTGTGGCCTGTGAATGAGTAAGTGTTATATCAACGTCAAAGTTAACATTCACCAGCACTTGGCATTCCCGTACACCCATATAGTATCCTCTTGGAAGCCAGAAGGTTTCAGAAGTAACTAACAGTCCAAGAGTTATAACTCAAATAGGCCTCAAACCTTGAACAAATTGGCGAAAAGCTGAAAATTTTAGGAAAGACTCATAACAGTGTGATAATAAACATATAAAAACTCCCCAGACATCTTCAGGATGGCGTCCAAGATTGCTGGTATTCTATAATGTATCTAATGTATCATATATTTGTAACTAGACATGATAAATGTGAAGAAAATGTCCTATCATAGGCTTTCAGACACGATTATTCCTATAATACCATTCATAAGAGGATGGAACAAAAACAAGATGGCTGTCATTTTGTTATAATATAATATATTATAACATAAAATGAGTTGTAAATATTATTTATAACCAAATATGATGTGATAAATTATCGAGGGCAAACTTGGAATTTTTGTTTCATATAATGGATGTGCCTTATATAATATGCAATGAGAGGCTCTGGTTTCGACTGATGTTACAACAATTGGAGACAATGGCCGCAGGACACTTGTGTTGGCCAGCATCAAGCGAGATGGTGGCCTTCAACAGATGGTGGTGAAAATATTTCCACTAAGGCTTCTTGCTGTTTGGCGCAAGACCGATACACTTGAGATCATGATAACAGCTACAACAAGGACGCCATCTGCTTGTGTGTTACAGAAGGGAGAGGCACCAGTATTGCCATCAGGTGTTTGTACATTTGATATTACAGTAAACATGTTTGTCTGTGTTCCGAAGCTGTAACTGTTGACAAGAAAATACAACTCAGACGCAAGAAAGGTAAAAGCAGCGCAGAAACCTTAGAATTTCAAAGCACCATCTTGAAACATAGCATAGACAGACAACATGACTGGGGAAATGTTGTTACAGAACGCATATGACATGCCTTTGATTTAGTGTTAGCCGAGGCAAAATATCATCGTAATTGAGCTCAAGTATTTCTTCGGAACATAGATGAAAAGGGCGAATCCATTGGCAGACCATTTTAAATGGACATGGTGTACAGTATATTCATTGAGATATTTCAAGTAAATGCTTAAAAACATTAAGGTGATGATATCACTTTCACAAACATAACCGGAAAGTCGAACATCGTCAGTTTTCGTGACTCAGCAAACAAAATCCTTCATGAAAAGTGGATTGCTGACAAGGTAACTGATACGAGTAGTGAGGCCGAATGTTTCCTTGATATAGCTGCGTCAATAATACTTGATGATACCCGGTTGATTGTATATGATAGTAATCAGTCCCTTAATATGGAAGAATAAAAAAGAGAGAATGGAAATACCTTGACACATGATTCTCTAAACTGTTTAATGTACAATTTAGTGGTTTGGAAGGGTAAGATTCCCAAGACTATCGATAGGAGATGTCATCAGCGTTAACACATGTCATAATTTCAGCATGCAGATCCAAGTGCATTGTAGGGGTATTGAGATATTAATGTTGTCTAGCACTCAGGATGGATGGAAACTCTAATGTGGTTTTCTTGTATATTATAAGTTATATGATAGACAGTCTGGTGCTGGAGGTGCCGTGTGGTGAGGGGCTGCTCGGTAGAGACGTTCGGTGAGTAGCTTGTTGAAGGAGGTAGATGTGCAGGAGCTTCGTTAGAGAAGATGTTGCCTGTTGCTGGCCTCCTGGTTGAATGAATGCTGGACAACTAGGAGCTTGCTGGGAGGAGGTGTTGCGTGTTCAGGAAGATGGGCCAGAATGAGAGTTGGTTGGTGAGGAAGCTCAGAGAAGGACAGCTGGTGGGTCGCCATGCTCGCTGGCGGGAGCGAGGACCGCCAGGCAGGCGAGGAGAAGCGAGGGCTGCCAGGCAGCGGCGGAGGAGGAGGTGTTGTTTGTTCAAGAAGAATGGTCAGAATGAATCTCAATGGAGAGACAGAGCTTATATACCCAGCAGCCGTGAGTCATGTTGGGAAAACCCGAGAAAGTCGCCGGTTACTAGTTCCGTTGCTAAGATACGGTAACATCTGGTTGGTTGCTAGGGAAGGGGGTAGCAGGTGGTGGCTGTGGCTACGCAGTTGTAGGCAGTTGTAGGGGAGAAGTCCACTACAGCATCATTTCACGAATTTTCCTCAGTGTATTTGTGTATATATTACGTTCTTTTTGCGGAACCGGTTTTTTTTTCTCTAAAATGTATATTGGTAATTTTTCAAAATAACTTACAAACAGACAACCTAAACTAACTTAACCTTATGTCGGAATAAGAACCAATGAATAGATTACTGGTCGGCATATGAACTTCGACTGATTCGTTGTGTAGACACTGAAGCAGTTAGATATTATATGTTATACTTGAAATGTAGTAACATTAGTTTCAATGTGTTAGGTAAAACAAAGTACTGTTTATTGTATTAGTCTCGAATACTAATGAATGAGTGAGTGTTTGATAGCTATTTGTGTATTCGCAACTTGAACGTCTTTTGTTTATGACGTCATTTCCGCCCACTGCCCGCACTGTTTAACTCCCAAGCCCGGGAACGGCAGTATTGGGCTGGCAGTTGTAAGACAAGTATCTCCTCTCCTTTTGTATATTACTAGTGGTATACCGTGTTAACCTTGCTCGACTTTTAAGAACACCAAGTATTACATAGTGATTTATATATGAGACTGTGGGTAGTCACATTTTAGAATTCAAAGGTAAATAACTTACTTGTTATTATGTCACTCGGTTGAGTCATTTATTTGTCCAGATTTAATTTGTATTTTGTTTATTTTTGTACATACTGATATACTTGTTTTATTGTTTGTTTGCTTGTTTGTTAATATATTCTGTAATTAAATCTACTTATGAATTTCAATATACCCCATAGTAATGAGGTGATGAATTTGGTGGCATCTATTCCTGGACCTATAGTACAAAGTTGAATTTGTGAATTTTTTTGCACCCTAAGAGGCCAAGGGTCGTGACAGTTGAATAAGGTAAGGATAGATTAGGTTAGGTTGTCTTTTTGTAAGTTATTTTGCAAAATTACCGATTCCGAAAAAAAAATGTAACATATATACTGTACACCGGAAGTGTGCTTTCCGAGAACAGAGAAATTTTGAGCAGCATAAGTTTCACTGAAAACTATAACATGTCCTGATATCGGGTGAAGAACCATAATATGCGTAGGTGGTTTCTCACAATTTGTGTATGACAACGATAATTTCAGTGTAGCTCCAGTTACTGGTCACAACAACACGTTCTACAGTATGAGGCATAGCTTGTGTCACTCCTCCTGGCACTGTGGCTTGCTCACCCATAAAACGTACAGTCAATTGACCATCTGCTGAAACCGTTGTCACTTTTGGAAACATTTCTGTAAATACATATAGCAAACCTGCTGTCCCAGTTTGCACGGTGTATTAATTGGGCGCCTTTAAGCTGATGACCAAAATCCACAGAACCTGAGCTCAGCAGCTGCCCTAGAATCCTTGGCTGCATTCTGAAACTGACTCCAGATCCTTCATGGAACATTATTTACACATCATTAAGTTTTGCACAAATACAGTCTGATAATATGCCCAGTTACATTTGACCAGCCATTATACCTAAAGGCTGCAAGAGAAAGCTGCTGCACGAGATATAGAAACTATTACTGTGCATCTTGGCGGATTCCATCTTCTGGTGTTTTTCCTCGGTAGCACTGGCTAGATTATGACAGTGGCTTCGCGGAGATGTTGTACACATGTTAATTGGCTTTGCTTTCTCACGTGCACATGCTGCTAACATTCTTACCTCAGCAGCTCTCATGTGTGTCTTACTGGAGACATCTGGCTGTATGGTCAACAACACAACATTTAAACCGTGTAATTAATGATTTAACGCCGTGTAATTAATGATTTAACGGGAATGCTCGTGTCTCAAAACATATGTTTATACACTATTCATATTTCTATATTTCTGCCAAGTTAGACTGCTAATATGATACCACATAGAAAGACTGCCATCTTTTTTTTTGTTATATCCTATAATTAATTGTTTCATCGAGTTGACCAGGTCTGAAAGCCGATGTTTTAACACTTTGTTTAGATTTATATCACGTCTAGTTGCAAATACACTATAGAATGGCAGCCATGTTGAACGTCATCTTGAATTCCTGAGCTAACACAAGGAAAATGTACCTGGTATATTTTTTATCACAGAGTTACGAAACTTTCCTGAAATTGTCAGCTTGTTGCCAATTTGTTCCAGGTTTAACCCTACTGCTCTTGGACTATAAAGCAGACAGTAGTGCCACACAGAGGACATAGTGTCTTACTGAGGCTGTTAATTCTGGTTGTTTTCATACTCGTTGTTTATTACCGAGTATTAGTATAATAGCCATCAAAACAAATCTCTTTCTGTAAAGAAAAAAAAATCACCTCTGGATTCGAACCGAGGTCATCACGGTTAGTAGTCAGGCAGGCTACCCCGCCCACCAGTGTGGACCTTAGAGGACTGAGGTAGACCCCCCACACCCGGGTCCCAGATACCAGTGGTATATAAGCTCTCCTGTAAGGAGAGCGAATCCCCGGGCAGGGTGAAACTATGGGCAATTTATTTTTACGCTCTTTGCTTCCGTCTACCCAGCAGTAATTGGGAACCCGGATGTTAATCGATTTGCGGATCATATTCCGGGGTAATGGTTAGCCAGTGCAGTTGGCGAGGTGTCCGGTCTTCTCGGACTATTCCTTGACACTGGGTCATACAGCTCGTTAACTCAGGGTGTGGTTGTTGTGTTGGCGACAGCTACACCTTAAACAAATTCACGCCTAGGTGGCCCTTGGGCCGGCCATCCTCGTTACACGAGGGGCAGCAATTATCATCATTAAGCTGCCTGACTACCAACCGTGGTGGTCTCGGTTCGAACCTGATTCTCAAAAGTGATTTTTTATTACACTAATAGATCTCTCTCTCTCTCTCTATATATATATATATATATATATATATATATATATATATATATATATATATATATATATATATATATCACTATAACAAAATGCAGACAACTTACACGTGCCCATGATCGAAGACGCAGTGCGCGGCCGTCAGGAGGAAGCGGTCAGATATGGGTGTGGCACCACAGAAGGCGTCCTCAACTGTAATCCTACCATCTCCCTCCTGTGTCCTGGTGTTGATGCTCGCTGAGGAAAATAACATTCAACTGATGATAACATGAAGTGTATACAATGTGACAGTCTTAATCAGGTATTGGAACCAGTTCACGGATAAGAACTAACGTAGCAATCTTTGATTTATGGCAAAATGTCTAGATTCTCATTGAATAGTCACCAGTGAATGACAGTGTGCGGTTGATCTGGACAATATTATCCTTACACTGTTTATGGTAGTGTTATGGTCTACATTTATTGAGGCAAAATGTGACATGATACAGTTTTTGTGTTTTCAAAAAGGTCGCGAGTCCGTCAATACTTTGTTAGAATGATCACCAGTAAGTGGAAGTTTACTTTTGGTCCTACGTTAGCGATAATTATGTTTACGTGAAATAATTAAAACACCTGCTAAGAACAGTGATGTTAATTTACGTGAATATCAGTGTTATAAATGAACTTTTTTATACATTACAGTATAGAGTTAAAAAACACTCGGGAATTTTGCTTAACAAAAACAGCAGATATCAACATGTGGCGCTCTTACTGTGTTCATTTTATCATGAATATTAAGAGGCTAAACATTACTTCAGAGATTATTACAGAGCCTATGTGATAAATAATTATGACATATAAATATGGATATTATTTTTATTGGCTTGAATTTTCGGATGTAGATTGTGGACGAAGGCGTCAATCTTGTATGCTCGGGTTAATAATGTGGAATGTATATAAGGATATATCGCTATACCAAACAGCTTTCAAGTTAAGGAAATGTAAGTGGCCAAGTGTAGTGCCGGTAGCTACCTGAACGGAGGATGCCTCAGTTGCGAACCAGCAACTCTAGACAGGAAGCGAGCTCTGTATACTGTACATTCATTCGCTCGCTGAGTAATTCAACAGTTTACGTGTGCTAGCTGTAAGGGCGGCATATATTGATTAAACAAAAAACGCATCCCCGAGCACCTAGGTCGCTCGATTCTTGCAGCTATTCTTAACTGTGCCCACCATCATGACTACCTGTTATTCTCCGACTTTCCATTTCTTGGTGAGACCAGTAACTAGGCTGACCTACCCACCATGAATGCTCTCTTTTAGTACAAACTAACACCTGCCATCAGTGATATGACCTCGTGTGAATTATTGTGTTTCTTTCATTAAGGTTTGTGTACCACTATCTTCATTATTCTTTTGGAGATATGTTAGTTTACCTCAGCACTTCCTCACTTTTGAACATTTAGTATTGTGTAGACGTGTTGTCAGTTAATAAAGTAGTACTGTGCTTTTTTCTCAACTTTGTATATATAGATCTACTGTTTGGGTTTGAAAATTTTGATTGTTATTTTATTATTGTTAATATATGCGTGTAATATTAGAAGTTTATTTCTTAAGGCTCAACACTTGATGGTAACAGGAATATGGGGACTTATTATTATTATTATTATTGTAATTATTATTATTATTGTAATTATTATTATTACTATTATTACTATTATTATTATTATTATTATAATTTTTATTATTATTATTATTATTATTATTATAATTATTATTATTGTAATTATTATTATTGTAATTATTATTATTATTTTAATTATTATTATTATTATTATTATTATTATTATTATTGCTATTATCATCATTATTATTATTATGATTATTATTATTATTATTATTATTAATATTGTAATTATTATTATTGTAATTATTATTATTATTATTATTATTATTGTAATTATTATTATTCTTATGATTATTATTATTGCTATGATTATGATTATGATTATGGTTATGGTTGTGGTTGTTGTAATTATTATTATTCTTATAATTATTATAATTATTATAATTATTATGATAATGATAATGATAGTGATTGTGGTTGTTGTTGTTGTTATTATTATGATTATGATTATGATTATGATTATTATTATTATTATTATTATTATTATTATTAGTGTTGTTGTTGTCGTTGTTGTGGTTGTTTTTGGACATTTATTGTTTATAGATACACGCTTAAGTAAGCTGATAAGTGGTGAAAATGAAAAAAAAATACCTGGTTTTATAATCCCTGGTATATTTGGCGTCGTATTCTGTAAAAGAGAAAGTGAACAATTAGTTGATAGTGGAAAGAAATAGGGAGAGCAAGAGATAATGTGTAATGTACATTTTCCTCCGACTGATAATGTGTAATTGAGGTTTTATATCTTGACCACGTTATAAGAAATTAGGTACACACTGATACTATGGAGGCGTTAACGTGACAAGTTTTATAGTGTGTAAATTTTTTTAATGATTTTAAGGACGAGAACAGATGTTGGCTGGTTTTTGGGATACAACATTTTCGGTCATATTTCACATTTGCATGGAACTGTTGCCCAAAGGCTACGGTCACGCTAGAGTGTTACGAGCAATAAATCACGACAGCAATTCATCCACAGACAATAAGTCGACGGTACGATCCGCACATTGGTCACATTGGCGAAAGGAACCATTGGCTGGGCACCCAAGTCAGCTGAAGAGCAGGATGGCTGCATTGAATGTTTCTATGGCAGTAATAACCGCTTCAGTGAGATGTGTGGTCCTGTTAAAGAAGACCAAGACGAAAAAGGAACGATTGTAGATTACAGGCGATGTTTGTTTACAATAGTGACGCAAGTACTATAGATTCAAATTAAATTTTCGTGGTGATGTAATCTATTAGTATTTCTTATTTACTATGACATGTTTGCTCGTATTTTGTTACTGAAAGAGACTTTTTATATATATATTTTTTTACATTTTAACATTAATAAGCAAAAATAAGTACGGTGCAAATAATATTCATACAATAGACTGTCTGCAGCAAATGTCAACACACCGTACTGTGGATTTTCAGACGCGACGTATCGTCCCACTTTCGACAACTAATAAGTTGTCGCTGTAGAGACAACTTGAGGAGTTCGTTGAAAAATCAATGCTACGGTGGATTTATTTTAGGTAGAAACTTTAGTGTAACCACAGCTTTAAATCAACCACTTTTTGAGAACATATAATTTATGAAGTGCTCCGGGCGACAAGTATAATAGACGAAAAAAAGGCAAAAGCCAGAAAACGAAGTTATAGTAGAAATTTTGAAATAAAATAAAAGTGTATTGTAAACATCTCACTCCTCTTTGTCGCTTGTGTTGTTCTCGCCCGGAGCGACTCAGATGTACAAATTGTTATAATACAGTTTGGTTGTGGAGAAAAACCTTCCTTAATTACTGAGGGTAATTACCAAAGTAACAGAAAATTCATTAAAAATTCTTGCATGATCTACTTTTCCAGACAAATTAAATACAATAGGAGGGTCGAAAGTACTATCTTAAAGTAAACACCTGGTGTCAAAACCTCTTATAACTGCGTCAGTTTTTTTAACATATTTCCTTTTAATGTTTGAAAATCATGTTGTCTTACCAAAATTCAGGAATTTTACAAGCAGGGGAAAATTTGAAGAAAATAATGTAGCTAATTAAAAAATATAATGAACATAATGAAATAACAATACTTGGACTCCTGGAGCTGTCGGAGGATGTCTTACCTCGTGTGATAGCGTGACCCGCATCATACCTCCATCGCTGCGTTTGGGTCGTCTGCTGTCGGTGGTAGTGACTGGCTTACCACACTCTAGTCCAGGGAAACAAAACATATAGATCACACCACTAGTCAGTCTTCCGGTAAGTCTTCCTATGCATTATGTGTCTTGTTACAAAGTTTTGCAAGAACGGAAAAATACAAACAAAAATATGTGCTTTCATTAGTGACTCACCAAATGTTGGGTTCCCGATGGAGCGTTGTTGGATGAACACTATAACACAAGAGAAAACGGTGTTAGCTGTTGAAGGATGTAGGATGATGAGGAGAGCTAGTGAAGACAGGTGTAGGATGTTGAGGGGAGCTAGTGAAGACAGGTGTAGGGTGATGAGGAGAGCTAGTGAAGACAGGTGTAGGATGTTGAAGAGAGCTAGTGAAGACAGGTGTAGGATGATGAGGAGAGCTAGTGAAGACAGGTGTAGGATGATGAGGAGAGCTAGTGAAGACAGGTGTAGGATGTTGAGGAGAGCTAGTGAAGACAGGTGTAGGATGATGAGGAGAGCTAGTGAAGACAGGTGTAGGATGATGAGGAGAGCTAGTGAAGACAGGTGTAGGATGATGAGGAGAGCTAGTGAAGACAGGTGTAGGATGATGAGAGCTAGTGAAGACTAGTGAAGACAGGTGTAGGATGATGAGAACAGCTAGTGAAGACTAGTGAAGACAGGTGTAGGATGATGAGGAGAGCTAGTGAAGACAGGTGTAGGATGATGAGGAGAGCTAGTGAAGACAGGTGTAGGATGATGAGGAGAGCTAGTGAAGACAGGTGTAGGATGATGAGGAGAGCTAGTGAAGACAGGTGTAGGATGTTGAGGGGAGCTAGTGAAGACAGGTGTAGGGTGATGAGGAGAGCTAGTGAAGACAGGTGTAGGATGTTGAGGAGAGCTAGTGAAGACAGCTGTAGGATGATGAAGAGAGCTAGTGAAGACAGGTGTAGGATGATGAAGAGAGCTAGTGAAGACAGGTGTAGGATGATGAAGAGAGCTAGTGAAGACAGGGGTAGGATATTGAGGAGAGCTAGTGAAGACAGGTGTAGGATGATGAAGAGAGCTAGTGAAGACAGGTGTAGGGTAAATAGGATGCTGACAGGAAGGCTGGGGATGGTTCATATTCCAGCACCTTCAAAGCTTCGGTGGGTCTGATAAGCCCCAGAAAACAGCTTCAAAGAACACCGGGCTCTACCAAAAAAACAGACGTGAATGCTTACAAAATGGAAATGATATGGGATTCATACCGGTAAATGGAGAGAATGAATATACATATTAATACTCTGATGAAGATAATAAATTACACATGGATAAAGATAACAGACACCAATTAATACATAAACGAGAATGACAAACGTACACATGCTTGGACGTCCACTCGCTGCAATGGAATCAGTCTGCTCCATCTCCAAGATCAAGCACATAAAGATATAAGTTAAAGTCCCCATAGAATAAATCATATATATATACAGTAGAAGTGGGATCAGTTGACAAAAGAACCAATATTTATTACCCTCAAAAATGAAAAAAATGCAAATGGAAATACTCGTACATAATTTAGCGGAGTGATAAGAAGTGGGGAACTTACTTTGATAATAAAAATTCCAAGATTTATTAATTGATGGTAAATGGATAAACACGAAAGGTGAGAATTAAAAAAAGAAAGAAAAGAGGATAAGTATAAGGAGTTGAAACATGTGACTGAGTGACTGAGTGTTGAGTCGTCGAGAAACTCTTGCAGAATAAAGGGATAACGACTGGGTTGCAAGAACAATGTGTGATGGGTTGGATTTCCTCAAGAGCACTGATCATAGATAGTGCGGTAGAAAAATAAAGAGAAGGAACAGATCATGTAATATGTTGGGGAGAAACTGAAGAAGTGACGTAGAAGACAACAGGAGAGGAAGCCTAATTTGTTAATGTTAGGAATGTGGTGATTACAAAATCCGAGAGAGTATATAGTGACATGGGGGTTGGAATATTAGGGATACTACTGAAGAAATATGGAGGATGGAAATACTCTTAACTGCGAAAGACAGTAAGAATTTGTCTCTTGGGTGCATCGTACGTTACAATGCTATTTTTGTCCACTGAGATGAAGGACTCAAGATCTATGTATCAAGGCTTATGAAGTATTAAGGTAATCTTTGGAGACCTTGACTGTTTATTATCAATACTACAACCGAAAAATATGCCATTTAGATTAATCAACAAAAGAACATTGTTACTATTGAATATTTAGAAAGGACTTCAGGATATAAAATTATATCGCCCCTCAACGAAGGAACGTGTTCTGGTGGTAAGAATGGAGACGAAGTCGCTCATAAGACAAGACCGAGAATTAAGCCTCGAGGAACTCCAGTGCGAATTTAAAGTATCAATAAGAAAAAGGGAGTCCCAGAGACCTTGTCAGTACCGTAACATTAGAAATACAGAAAACACCACTGATGTTACCGATAAACAGTCAAGTAAGTGGGTGTGTTGCGAGACAGTGAACATATTGACTCTGCGCGGAGTTGGGGGTCTTCAAGGTGTTTGAATTTAATTATAATAAATTCCACAACCTGAGAGAAGATCGAAGTGAAAACTATAGAAAAATACCTGAAAGAAAATTAACTGGGCAGTGGCTTATATCCATGAGGGAACAGTGTGAGAGGAATAAAAATGGTTGAAACATTTAAAAGCGCCAGGAGGAAGTTCAAGTACACGTTATTTTGAGGAAGAGAGACTGTATACTGTAAATGTTTATACTGGGACCTACAGAGAGTAATGAGCTAGTTTATAAAGTAATGGATTTCTCGTAATGTGGAGAACTTATCGCATGTACAGTACTGGTCAGGGTGGTGGGAGAGGGGGCGGGCGTCAAGTGATTCGAGACTTGGCTAAACGTACAACCTTGAGGAGTCGTATTATCTGTGTTGGTATTGATATCATGAGAAAGAATGAAAAAATGCGCATATTATAAAACGATTTGGCAAATGACTCGAGAGGTTTGTGATCTGTGTGAGTAAAGACATTTTGGTTTGGGGCTGAAGGAGACATTTTATTGTTGTTGTTTTGAGAGTTTTTAACATAATTACAACCATTAATTAGGTGTTGTAAGTTTCTTTGTATTGATTTTGATGCCGGTTTCTGAATAAGGCTAGTTTGATGCTATAAACAAAGCAAATATCCTCATAAGGTAAGCGAAATTACATGCAAAACTAAGGTAACAGATGAGACCAGACTCACCTCGACACGCTTTACAGGAAACTGCGCACATATTCTGCATAAACTGTGGGTCAGTCCTACACAAGTCCTTACTGGCCCATTTCTGGCATTCTGGAGAAAAATTCCAACAGTTGCCTGTAAAAAATAAATATATTAGCTGTCTGTATCACATTGCCTGTTAGCTGTCTACAACAAACTGTCTGTTAGCTACCTGTAACATACTGTATGTCAGCTGCTTTTAACATACATCATACAAACTGTATTGTAGTTGGCTGTAATAACAAAACAATGTTAGCTGTCAATAAGATGATAACAATGAATTCTAGCTGCCTATAACAATACATATGTTTGTTGCCTTTAATAAACCATATGTTAGCTGCCTATAAGAAGAAATATGTTAGCTGCATAAATGAAGAATTATGAATTATTATGTTTAGAAGCTAATAATAAGCAAATTTAATATGTAATGCATAGCTAAGGTAACACCTTACAAGCAAAAGGCTACATGTACAGCAAGGTTAACGACTTATAAGCTAATAGGAGGCTACATACAAAGATAAGTTAGCATCTTACAAGCTAACAAGAGGCAACATGCAAAGCTAGCATCTTCCCAAGCTAACGAGGTGCCAGCATGCAAAGTTAGGCAAACGAACTGAAGCTTTACTAAGTTAATATCCTCATAATGTAAGTGAGGCCAGATACTCACCTTCACAAACGCCACAGCTGAGTGGACAGTTCCGAAGCATAAATAGTAAGTCGCTCTTACACAAGTCCCTGCTGGCCCACTCTGGACACTCTGGTGACAGATCCCCACATTCGACTGTAACAAGGTGTATGTTAACTGCCTGTAATAAAGTGACTGTTCGATATGTGCAACAAACGGTATGTTACTTGCGTGTAACTGGGTGTACAGTGTATCTCAACTCTTATTAACTCCCTCTACAATATTCTAACTGTCTGTAATATATAAGATACAAAGTTAGTTGTCTGTGTAGTTTTATGTACACAACTCTACACAGTGTGATACAGAGGCAGAGGGAGGGAATTTTGAATACTTTCTGTAATAACGCAACTGTATCACATTGTGTATACTGTAGACTGTAAACTTGTAGAGTTAAGTGTATAAAATGACACCAAAATCTACTGCGGTTTCACTCCTGCAATCTCACTGTCATTACCTTAACCCCCTTCTAGTGCTGTAGGAAGGAAACTATGCAGAATCCGACATTTTGACATATCGACAGGGTGACTTAAAATATTGTCCCAGGAATACACACCAAGAATTATGAAACGCATTTCCGAAACACCCTTTATTTGTTGAACTGTGTGTGTGTGTGTGTGTGTGTGTGTGTGTGTGTGTGTATTTAATGAAAATAATAATTATAGGTTTATTGAAAAAGTACAGCAGCCAATATATGAAAATGTACACTGGACAAAGAATGAGTTATTACATACATTTTTTTTTTATTTGGCACCCCCCTACATCCTGTGTAAGGTGAAGCGCAGAAGCGCTTACAGCGCCCAACAGGGAAGCATGCTAAGTTCATGCTTGCCTTTATGTCTCATGAGTTAAGGGCGCAGAAGCCTGAAGAGTCAAGGGTGTAGAAGCCTGAAGAGTCAATGGTTTTATGTCATCAAGTTATTGGAAGCTCCAACAACTTTCCATGAATACGAATTCGCACCTTTCGATTTACAGCAGGTACCTACATTACTGCTAGGTGAACAAGGACTAATGCGGGCTAGGAAGTATGTCCAAACAACTTTTCCACTGGCCCGGGAATCGAACCAGTGACATCTCGCTTGCGATGCAAGACATACAATGACATGGGAGAGAGAATTGTTTAACAAAAGTTTTCATTACAAAAAAAAAAAAAACAGGAACAGGAGGAGGAGTGTACAGTACATACAACTTAGCTCTACAGTGGAAGGCGGGGGCTAGTCTTTTGCCCTTAACATAAGAACATATGAAAGGAGGAAACTGCAGCGGACCTATTGGCCCATACTGGGCAGTCCCATTTACACCCAACCTATTGCTCATATATCCATCCAACCTATGTTTGAAGCTATCTAGCATATTCGAGTTAATGATAATGTTTGGTAACTTGTCCCACTCATCCACTACTCTATTTCCAAACCAATGTTTGCCTATCTCGCTCCTAAATCTATTTTTTATTAATTTAAGTACCATTGTTATATCACCTTTGTTTAATCCTGACTTCCATTTATATACCTCGATCATATCGCCCCTCACTGTACGTCTCTCGAGGGAGTGCAAATTAATATGCTTTAAACTGTCGCTGTACTCAAGATTCCTAATGTCCGGGATTAGTCTTGTCAGTCTCCTCTGAATTCTTTCTAGGGATTCTATATCCATTCTGCAGGACGGTGACCAGAACTGAACTGCACAAGCCAAGTGAGGTCTTAAAAGCGCAAGATATAGTTTTAGGATAACCTCACTAGTCTTGTAACTAATACTCCTTTGTATGAACCCAAGTACTTTATTAGACTTGTTTCGACCAAATGCACATTGTTGATTTGGTTTAAGATTCCTACTTATCATTACTTCTAAATCTTTCTCACAGTTGGATTTCTCAAAAACAACATTGTTCATCTGATATCAATATCTGGTTTCTCTGTTTACATCTCCTAGACTAAGTACTTTACATGAGCCTTCACTTTACATATTAGTCTTTCGTGGGGGACTCTGTCGAAGGCTTTGCTAAAGTCGAGGTATGTATTAGCCCCTGTCTCATAGGCAGAAGTACTATCACCCCCTGTAATTTTCCACTAGCTATCAGGTGACATGTTCAGAGCACGTGATCGGGTGTGTCCACAGGAAGGCGCGTCACTTAGTGCTAAGTCAAGGCATAAGTAACCGGCTCCCTGGCTACCTATTGCGGGCAGTAGTTTGATAACACTCACTAGAGGAAGACGTTATTTAGAGTCATCCCCGAGGGAGAACGTCTGATATATTCGTTCTTTCTTGAGTGGTCTCTACTCACTATCACTCCCACTCTAACATCAATCGGACATATTTAGCAGAGCTAATCTAATTTAGCCTCCGTCCTCATTTAACACTCATAGCTGCAGTGATTAAGTTACGGTGATATACACTTAGAACTGTATATAATATATTTTCTTAATAAATACAGACAGGACAGCTGGGTTTCGCTACTAAATCCCAATATACTTTTACATGTTCCAGCTCCATTAACTTATCAAGAATCAATGTTTCTAAGGGCAAGAACAGGTATACCACATCATAATCGTGCCCGCCGTCCACAGATTCGAAAACAACTGAAAAGAATGCTAATTGATTAGTCAGACATGTGTGTGTGTGTGTGTGTGTGTGTGTGTGTACTCGTCCATAGGGTACGTGCCACTCTCACTGACTGGCAGAACAACCCTAAGTCTAGGACCAAAGCTGATACCTACCACAGTGAGAAAGCGGCAGTCCAGTGCGGACTTCGCAAACTAATGAACGAATGATCGAAAAATAAAGCATGTGAAACACAAAAATTTGCAGATCAGCATAAGAGAGCGACTTTTTCAATTCCACTAAAACATTTTATGGGCCAATCACTCGTGGCACAGCCCCTCTCTGCTCATCCTTCAGTGCTGGAAAGAGCACAACCATTCGCTGCTCAACAGAAATAGCAATGTGGATGTCCTGACTACCCAGCAGGTTCCTCAGCACTCAGAGCTGACCCACCTCATCTTTCCTAAATCCCTGGATGAGGTAGCTATTACCATCAAACAGATGAAAAATAACAAAGCTTCAGGGCCTGATGGAATTCCAACCGAGGTGTATACAGCAGGAGGACCTCTGCTTACCAGAAGTCTCCTCTCACTCCTAGAGAATATATGGAAGACCGGACAGACTGTGGCAACTACCGCGGGATCTCACTGCAGTCCATAGCTGGACAGATTATCCCCGAGTCCTCCTAAACAGACTTCTTCTTGAGGCGGAAAATTTCCACCCAAAATCTCAATGTGGCTTTAGACCATCACATGGCACCACTGACATGATCTTTGCTGCCCGCCAGATACAGGGAAAATGCAGAGAACATCGTCGTGACTTGTACATGGCCTTCATTGACCTTACTAAGCCCTTCAAATCGGTCAACAGGGAAATCCTCTGGCGGATCCTCAGCCGTTTTGGCTGCCCACCAAAATTCATCACCATTGTAGGAATCTCCACGATGGCATGAACGACAGTGTCCTGCACAATGGCATCCAATCTGAGGTCTTCCCCATGCAAACTGGGGTAAAACAAGGTTGTGTACTGGTACCAACTCTCTTTCTATTTTCTTGGCTGCCTTCCTTTCTCGTGCCAGTGCTAATTTAGCTGTCGAGGTGGACATCCAGTTCCGGATGAAGTGACTTTTCAACATAAAACGGCTCCAGGCAGGAACAACAGTGAATTTCAGTATGCAGACGACCTTACACTTGTCACTCACACTGAATGCGACCCACAGGAGATCCCGAACACCTATGCAGATGCGTATGCACACTTCAGCCTTGAGGTAAAAGCATGTAAGACTCAGATTCTCTTTCAGACTGCCTCTGGTTTAACCACACCTCCACCATCCGTCCAGCTTAACAGTACTACTCTCTCTAATGTTACCCACTTCCAGTACCTTAGCTCCCACCTGTGCACCACCGTGAACATCGATGAAGAGATTCAACATCGGATCAGATGTACATACATCTCAAGCTTTTGGCAGACTCTGCACCCGTGTCTTCAGCTGTACGTAGCTGAAATTATCAACAAAGTTGTTGGTGTATCAAGCAGTGGTCTTTCCCACCCTGCTGTATGGCAGCTGTGGTGTAATGGTCAGCATGCTCGTCTCACAAGCGAGTGGACTTGAATTCGATCCCCTGGCAGGGTGAAACTATGGGCAAGTTTCTTTACGCCATTTGCCCCTGTCTACCCAGCAGTAATTGGGGACCTGGATGTTGATCAATTTGTGGATCGTGTTATGGGGTAATGGTTAGCCAGTGCAGTTGGCGAGTTGTCCAGTCTTCTCGGACTATTTCTTGAAACTGGGTCATGCAACTCGTTAACTTAGGGTGTGGTTGTTGTGTTGGCGACAGCTTAAACAAATTCATGCCTAGGTGCCTTAAGGAGGCACCTTAAGGCACTTGAAAACTTTCACCAACGTAGTCTACCTTCCATCCCCCGAGTTCGCTGGGAAGACAAGTGATCAAATGCCAGTTTTCTCGCTGACACCAACTGTAGCAACATCGAGGCTACCATTATCCATGAACAACTACGTTGGACTGGCCATGTTACCCGCATGGACGACAGTAGACTGCCAAAGCAGCTACTTTACAATCCCCTAATGAATGGTAAACCTAACGCTGGTGGACAACGGAAAATGTATAATGACAGTCTTAAGACAAACCTGAAAATATGCCAAATCGATCCCCTCACCTGGGAGACAATCACTTCACACTTTAACGCTTGGAGGAGCACCACACTGTATGTATATTATGTATGCTGTATGTATCTTATGTATGTATATTATGTATGTGCTCCATTTATATACACTATTTATTCAGCCTAGCTAGCAGCGTGTGGCAATGTATTTACCATGTCCCACACGCTTAATTAATGTGCCTGGCGACATATGGAAGCTGCTAATGTATCACTTACCACATGTCGCCTAGAGGCTAGTTGACCCCCCAGACAGAGTAAGGAGCGCCACCTCGCTTGTGTATCTCTGTTTATCCAGTAAATAGAACCTACAAAAATTCTACAGGTGTTTGTGTTCGCTCCTGTAGATAGAACTTGATACCCAGAACACATGCACACACGAGAAGATATAAATTCTTTCGAGTTAGCCCGACTGCATACCGAGGCAGACAAATTGCCGGTCAGACTATGACAACTACCGCGGGATTTCGCTGCTGTCCAGCCAATCATATTTCGGGGCGTAACCATTTTGCCAGACCCTAAAAGATACACTAGGCCACACTATTTCTTCTAGTATGTTATGTAAGCTGCACATCTACACCATAGTTAAAGCTGTCTCACGAAATATTGTACAGATGCTGTTGCTACTTCACTCCTGAGCAGTTGTTTCAACTTATAAGAGATTTATTCGTCTTAACTTGGAGTACTGCTCTCATATCTTGGGTGGCTCTTCTTCTGCCCATCTGTTTGATAGGCTGGAATCAAAGGCAGTCCGACTTATTAAGTCTTCTCCTTAGTCAATGATATCTCTTCCCTTTCTCTTCGACGCAATGTTTATTCACTCTCTTTTACAATGTTCAGTGGCTTTGGCATCCTGTGTACTGCCAGCAAGGCAGTGGGTTCGTAACACACGTCTTGCTTGAGGGTGTCCCACTAGAATAACCCGTTATAGTAGCGCCTTTCCTTACACAGCCAACCTGTGGAATGCTTTGCCTTCTTATGTCTTTCCATCCTCTTACAATCTGCCTTACTTAAAAAGGCGTCTTGTCGTGGGTCGGTGACCTGTACCAAGGCCTCCTATTTACTACAGGCCCGAGTGTCACTCTGATGACGTCACGATAACGGGCTGAGCTGCCCGCTTCTTACTACCCTTTCAAGTTCACTCAATAGTTGATTTTTTACTAATTGAGAGCATTTATCTAATTTAGAAACCTTCATAATTCATAATGAAGCATTTTGTATAATATTTTTATTACCATGATATCTTTGATGCAGATATTTGTGAAGGTAAAAGAGTAAAATATTGGTATACATTAACAATCTTAAAAACAGTGCCTTAAAATGCAGGAAGCAATAACGGTACTGTATTTTGAAAATATGTGGTGCATGTACAGTATTATACCAACCATGGCCTACATATTATATACACATCTGTATCAGTAACACACTACAAGGTATTACTTACCATAAAAAAAAACATTGTATCAACCAACTTAAATCAATCGTATTATTACCTTTATAAAAGGTAATAATACAAACTGATAACGACTTGTACAGTAACCAAAGAACATCAGTAACAAAATAATATGTAGCCAATAATATTTTTTTTTTTAAGATTTCAATGTTGACACTTTTCTCTTTTTGCCTTTCCTATAAGTTACAAAATCACCATTACAAGATTTAGATTTTTTTAATAATATATTTGTCGTGGATCTGATAAAGAATAAAAGGACTTTATTTACTGATTTACCACATTGGCAAAAGTCATCCATATCAACTAAAGCCTCAAGATATTTTAAAGATAAATGAACCAGGTCACTTCTTTGGTTACTGGAAAGGAAAAAATATTCCTTCAAATTACTCAGTAAAACGAAAAATTTTTGAGAGTTAGAACATATGGACATAGTGAACTCTGAAGGCCATTTCAAACTTATAAAGCAGTGAAGTCCAGTCTTTACTTACGTGCTTGAGCCAGTGTGGTAGAACAGCACCCGAGCACAACCGACAACCACAGCACCATGATAACAGGCGCCATCTTCCACCAGGCCCACCACGAACCACCAAGGTAGAGACTTGGATGATGACCTGAGCGCTGGGTGTCGCTAGTCTGGTAGATAAGATAGAAATAAGTGCGTTACATAAATGCATTCCTAAAATCATGGGCTCGAATATCACTTACCTTACCCAGCTACAGCGTGGGGTCAGCTAGTAATCTGTAGTGAGAGGATTGAAAATTTTTTTTGCTCGGAAATGATTTTGTATTCCTTCACCAAATTTTGTAGATTCTCTCAAGTGGAACTAAGGGCGGTGAGAGTGAAGGAAAATAATGGGATGGGTTAAAAGAGGGAGAAGAAAAATAAATAAACCAGGTCCTCCTCCCCCCTATTGTATTTTTGCTACATCTTCAACAAGGCGAGAGCAGGTGTAACTATGGCCCATAGTTTAGCTAGATATTTTAATTCTGCATAATTTTTATTCTACGGCGTTTTTTGACAGCATGTACTGTTTGCATATTATATATAGTTGGAATACCATATCTGCAATAACTTTTTAATGAAGAAGTTATTTTTTTCATTATGAGCTTAATGTAATGGCCCCTGTCTCATCAACAGAACATATTATATAAATGGGTTCTTACATCTGATATTATATTCAGATTCGCCACCCTGTAACTTTCCACTACCTATGAGTGAGACACGAGTTGAACACGTGAACGGTAGCTTTCCCAAGAGGGAGAAGCACATATGTCAGCATCGATGTAAGCACGCACCAGGGGCGATGCTCTTAGCTCAGTCACTCACATCAATTAATATCGAACGGACGTTGATCCATGTTTATATTCATAAACGCCGTCCTCTTTCTAGTTCACTCATAAATAGTGGAATTTACGGTTGATCTACACTCAGGAATTATAGACATAATCCTTTTATAATAAAACAAGGAACTTCAATTGGGTTTCGTTACTAAAACCCCAATATCTAATATATGTGAACAACCTGGTTAACTGGGGGATTACATAAGAACATAAGAACATAAGAATGGAGGAAACTGCAGCGGGCCTATTGGCCCATACTGGGCAGTCCCGTTTACACCTAACCCCTATTGCTCATATAAGCATCCAACCTATGTTTGAAGCCATTCAGCATATTCGAATTAATGATGATATTTGGTAACTTGTTCCATTCATCCACTACTCCAAACCAGTGTTTATCTATTTCACGCCTAAATCTAAATTTGTCTAATTTAAAACCATAGTTACGAGTTCACTCCTGGTTGGATAGTTTGAGTACCTTTGTCATGTCCCCTTTGTTTAGCCCTGACTTCCACTTATACACATATATCAGGTCGCCCCTCGCTCTACGTCTCTCCAGTCGGATTTCTCTATGGCATCATTGTTCATCTGGTATCTGGTTTCCCTGTTTACATCTCCTATACTGAGTACTTTACATTTGTCCACGTTGAATTTCATCTGCCATTTTTCAGACCATTCGAAAAATTTGTTTAGATCTTCCTGTAGTTTTGCCGAGTCCTTGTCATATTTAATAACACGTCCTATTTTAGTGTCATCAGCAAATTTACTTATGTTGCTGTCTATGCCGATATCTATGTCGTTTATGTATATAATAAATAATAATGGTCCAAGTACTGAGCCTTGGGGAACTCCACTTGTGACGTTGCTCCAATGGGACTTAGTGCCGTTAATGCTCACTCGCTGTTTCCTGTCCTGTAACCACGCCCTAATCCATTTAAGGATGTTACCTTTGATGCCATGTGCTTCTACCTTTCTAATTAGTCTTTCGTGGGGGGACTCTGTCGAAGGCTTTGCTAAAGTCGAGATATACCATATCATAATTGTGCCCCTTGTCCACCGATTCGGAAACTGATGAAAAGAATGTTAATAGATTAGTTAGACAAGAACATCTGCTTGTGAAGCCATGCTGGGAATCATTGATCAATCGGTGCTTCTCCAGGTGATTTCGAATAGAGTTTGAAATGATTGCTTCCAGTAATTTGCCTACTATTGATATTAGACTGATTGGGCGGTAGTTAGAGGATAGTGATCTATCCTCCTTCTTGAAAATCGGTATTACATTCGTGTAAAGGGGACTTAGGGATAGAAATCCCTTACTAGGCTAATCAGGATCTTAATAAAGGAAAGTCAAGGACCAAGGTTTTCTGAGGAATAACAAACAACCGTTTGAGATTGGCATCTCTTTACTATAAAAATATAACACAAAACTCTGACACCACTCAACAAACATCAAATAATTACGGGAGTCAAACAATTAAAGGAAGCAAACACTTAAAGGAATCAAACAAATAATGGGAGTCAGCAATTAATGGATTCAAACAATTAAATGGAGTCAACAATTGATAGAATCGAAGAATACAGGGGAGTCAGCAATTAATGGAATCAAACAATTATAGAATCAAACCATGAACAAATATTTCCTACGGCAGTGGCCCTGGGGGAAGGTTCTGGAACACGGTGATGCACACTCAGGGTAGGGAAGCGTCCATTCACTCCACACTCAAGCGACGTCTTGAAAAGGCAGGAGAACACCGGGGCACAGACGGAATGTGAGGAACTGACGGTCGTGGTATGCGGTAGTGGTAGATGACCAGAGAGTTGGCAGTTGATAGGTGAAGGTCTGGGGACACAGCCCACGAGTCCAGGACCTATGATGAGATCACAGCCAGAATTTGACGGACAGCAGGATAGCTAGATACTGTCTGTATGGCGGCTGGGTTGAGGTGACGCAGATAGTCGCTGCCGTTCTCACTTCTGTCCAACCACCCTAAGTATCGTCTGCACCAGCAAACGAGCGAGTTAGCAGCGGTAACCAGCCGGAGGATCGTTTCCGCCCTTACAATTAGCTATCCTCCAGGATTCTGGTATTACACCTGTTTTTAAGGACATGTTAAACAACTTTGCTAAGGGCATACTAAGCTCTTCCTTACATTCCTTTAATACTCTGGCAAATATCTCATCGGGACCAGGTGACTTATTAGGCTTTAGTTTGTCTATTTGCTTACTAACATCGTTACTAGTCACTACTATCTCGCTTAAGTTGTTTTCTTCACTATCTCTGAATAGAGTCGGTGCCTCGGGTATCATGTTTAAATTTTCGGTGGTGAAAACTGTTGAAAAATATTGGTCCAATCTTTTCTCGTGTTTTAGTTTGATACATTTGGTAGAATCCTTTGGGGTTTGTCTTTGCCTCCCTTGCTATCCTTACCTCATTATTCCTCTTGGCTTTCCTTATCTCGGTTTTAACCCTACTCGCCAATATCTTATAATAATCCTGGAGATAAATTTCGCCACGCTTTATCCTTCTACCTATAGCCTTCCTTTGGCCAATGATGTTCTTTAAATAATTATTCATCCATTCAGGGTCATTGTTGTCTGATCTGAGTTTTTTGTACGGTATGTTCTGCCTTTGTGCATTAAGTAACTCATTATTTAAATTGTCGTGGAACTCGGCAATCTCAGATCTCGTTATCAGGTCAGAGTCATCTGTCAGGTTCACAGCCAAGGGCAACCCCCTCTCTCTCAGCTGCCTCTTTAAACTGTCAAAGTTTGCCCTTCTGAAATCTGGTACTTTAGTGGAATTTTCCTTACGTCTGCCCTGAAAATCTAACTGGAATCTAATTTCTTTGTGATCGCTGTTTGCAAGTTCGTTCCCTACCTCGACATTGCTAATGAGGTTTTCTCTGTTCAACAGAACTAAATAGAGTATATTATTACCCCGTGTGGGTTCGGTTATATGTTGACTTAGGAAACAGTCCTGGATCGTCTGGAGAAAATCCTCTGATTCTGAGTTACCCATAAGGTCAGTCCACTCTATTTGGCCAAGGTTAAATTCGCCTACTATACAGACTTTGTTGTGTATGGAAGCCCTGCGCATTTCATCCCAGATAAGTCTCTCATTGACTCTATCAAGATTGGGAGGTCTATATATTACTCCTGTGATTAATTTTTCCCTACCGTCGATTAATTCTATCCAAACTGTTTCTGTATTCCGCTCAGTTTTTATTTCCTTATATATTTCACACTTCAGATTATCCCTAACATAGATTGCTACTCCGCCTCCTTTCCTGGTCTGCCTATTGGTATGGAACAATTTGTAACCCGCAATTTGGTATTCGACCGGCAACTCACGTGAGTCTAGGTTGATCCATGTTTCAGTGAATGCTATTACATCGATTTTTTCGGTACATACCAAGGCCCTAATATCATCCATTTTGTTTCTCATACTTGTACTGTTCGCATAGTAGACATTTAAGTTAGTCGTGTTCTGAGTCCTCCCTTTACCGCGTTTAGTTTTAAACTCCCTGTTTAATTTAGTTTTGTCATCATTCCTAACACTATTTCCCTGTAATCTTTTACTTTGTTTTCCCGCTCCCATTGCAGTCTCCTCCACCCCCGTGCCCATATGTTCCCCTAGCAGTTTAAATACTTCGATATCCTTTGAACTGCCCCATCTAGAGACCCAGCCAGGGTTGCCACCCCATCCCGAGACAGGTGCACCCCATCCCTAGCATAAAGGTCCCTTCTGCAGTAGAAGTTGTACCAGTTGTCAATGAATGGGACAGATATTGACTTACAATATCTGTCAAGACGGTCGTTGACACCAACCGCCCTTGACAACCATTCACTGCCAACTTTCCTTCTAGGCAGGACACAGCATATGATAGGGATCCCGCCCTTAGACCTAATACGATCTATAGCTGCCTTGAACTTATCAAGAAGCTCCTCGCTCCTACACAGGCCAATATCATTGCCTCCTGCACTGAGGCAGATAATGGGTTTGTTCCCATTACCAGACAAGATATTGTCCATCCTGTCAATTATATCCCCCACCCCAGCTCCTGGCAAACACACCCTCATCCTATTTTTGTTTTTACCGCAAAAGACCCTGTCCAAGTACCTTACCTGTGAGTCACCAACAATTAAAGTTTTTATACCTTCCTTGTCAGCCCTGTCCCTGACTGTACTAACGTCCAATTCGTCTATCAAGGGGCTGAACGAGTTGGTACACTTAGCTGTTGTTGTCGTATCCTTGGTGTATTTCTTCACCACCAGCTTGGCCTTCCCTCTCCTCACAACCTTCCACTCGCTTGAGTTTTCGTCAGACACTGGCATTCCCTGTCCGGCGTCCCCTTTTATCTCGCCAGCTCTTCCTTTAATTTCAGGTTCTCCAACGTGGCCTTCGCAATTTTTTCCTTGGCCCTCGCCAATTCTTCCATGGACCACTCCAGTTTGGTCAACAAGCTCTCACACCCAAGACCACACATAGCACTGGCCATATCTGATAATTATCCCTCGGGAGCTAACCCTGCCGTGACCTTTCCCCTAGTGAGGTCAGAACACAACCGACGGGTTCATTCAGTTATAGCCCAGTGAACTCAAAAGAGCGAATTTATATATCATTGACCATAAAGAAGCTTCAGTTATAGCTCATTGAATTGAAAGGAGCTGCAGTTAGAATACTTGGGAACGACATAATGCTGAAGGGTTTTCTGTCAGACATGAGACCTATTCCGAAATCCATTACTTTTGTTTTACACATGAGTATGGTCCAAGGTCAGCTTAGAGAAACATTGCCCGGTTTCTGTTCGACAAGTACCTTTTCTCAAAATGGTTTGTAACAGTGGATGGCTGTTCTTGAAGCCTTTACATGTCATGGATGTGTACAAACAGCCCCCTGGGGTAGATGCACTTGTCAAATGTAAAATATCAAGGCGCCATTCTTTGAAGACTCTGAATATCCAAAGCAAACTTTCCACTTACAAGTGCAGAGAGAAACACCAGGAGTGTGAGTTGCAGCTCCATCGCCATAGATCAAAATTGGAATATGGGTTATTCAGCAGTTTTTTTTAAATCCTGTGTACTGTTGTATACTCTCCATCTGCCTTTTTCATCAAGTTATGGGTGAGAAGAGACACTTACCTGATGGGCCGAGCGTATTCTTGTTACATCAAGGTTTACACAATGGACGATATTTTTAAATAGATTGGTTCAAAAAATGTAAAACAAATAAGGGTTAAAGTAGCTAAAAAGTCACGTGACTGCGAAAAGCTCCGTGATTGGTTGTGACGTCAATGGTTGGGGTGCGCTCCCCAGCGGGAGTCAGCCAGCTGTAGTTGTCCGACCTTCTCGGCTGATCGGCTCAGTAAATAAATATTATTAGATAATTAATTGTGCTTTATTGTGCAACGCAGTCATACTAATTTGAATATAGAAATATTACGAAGCACATAAACTAATGCAATAGATATTAGTTGATATTAGTTGATATTCCGGTAGGCAGGAGGGTTCAGGGGAGGGAGTTGGTATGGTGTCAACTTAACAGTTGACCTGGTTGCTCATAGAGGAGCGCCAGGTTCGTCTTGACCCTTCGGTGGTCAAGGATGTAGTGTGTGTGTGACCGGGGGCGTCATGGCCTCGGTGTTTTAGTTGACGTAACAGACATAACATAAACACAATCACAAAAAACGAGAAATAAAAATAAAAACACGTAAAAAAATTTACCTGAGCGGAGTAGCAAGTTACCTCCTCCCTCCTCACTGACAGAAACAACACTGACTGCTTTTCGACAATCGACATCCTTCGTCTTGTTCACCTTTCAGAATACATCGCTCACTAACCTAACCATAGCTAAGAGAAAATTTCTCATCTTTCTTCCCATGAATTCTCCAGCATATACCTAGATCACGCGCACCTACAGTGATTTACTTGCATATATATATATATGTATGTATGTATGTATGTATGTATACATCAATGGAGATAATACTCATACACATTAATAACCTGTTAGCTATGTGGACTTAATAGTCTTCTCCAACACAAAGTGAGAGAAAAGTTAACAGACTCACCCAGACACGTGTTGCAGCTAAGTGGGCAGTTACGTTTCCTAAACAAGGGGTCAGTGCTACACAGGTCCCTGCTGGCCCACTCTTGGCATTCTTGTGAACGATCCTTACAGTTAGTTGCCTGTAACAAACTGTATGCTAATTCTAAGTAACAAAATATATGTTAGCTGCGTGTAGTAAGTTTGAACACAATTGATTCATCTCACTATATCACAGTCAGTTGGCCTTCCTCAACGATAACTTCTATTATTTTTTCTTCTAGTTTCTACGTCTGGCAGATCGGCAAGGCGTGTTGGCAATGAGGGAATGTTTCTTGCACTGCATGCCCAGAGGGAGGATGGAGGACTTATTTTAACCCAATATAGATAGTAAAAACCAAGTACACACCCCAATAGTATCATTAGAATATATGCAAAGATTCAAGTCAATAGGTTCTGTTTGTCTTGAAGCATTGGAGGATGACACCACTACTACTACTTCTTGCTGTCACTCGGAATTGACACATACACACACACAGACACACAGGGTCGCAGATTAATTATATATACAGTATTGTCTAACTTTTATTTTCACTAGCACTATTATTGTTATTATTAATGTAATCTTATTTATGTTATAATACTCACCAGCCTAGGCTTGTGACTGGGTGGCCCAAACGCCCACCACCACCACCAGCGCAGCCTAAACCACCTCACCAACTCCAGCAATCATTCAACAGACGTAGAAGACCAAGGTCGATATATATACTGTAGAAGTTGTTGAAGACCTTGGAGTTTACGAGGCGTTCGTGCGGCGAGTGAACGTCACATTCCAGGTAGTATAGGAGCGTCTCTTATTCGTTGTTTTATTATGAGAAACGGAAAGAAAAACAACTCGGGAGGCGTCCACTAAAGGGCAATACAACAACAATACCACTACCCACACAACACCTACCACCACCCACACAACACCTACCACCACCCACACAACACCTACCACTACCCACACAACACCTACCACTACCCACACAACACCTACCACCACCCACACAACACCTACCACCACCCAATACCCACCACCACCCACACAACACCTACCACCAGCCACACAACACTTACCACTACCACACAACACCTACCACTACCAACACAACACCTACCACTACCCACACAACACCTACCACCACCCACACACAACACCTACCACCACCCACACACAACACCTACCACCACCCACACAACACCTACCACCAGCCACACAAACACCAATACACTACACAACACCTACCACCACTACACACAACACCTACCACTACCACACACAACACCTACCACTACCACACAACACCTGCCACTACCAACACCTACCACACACTAATACCACCTACACAACACCTACCACTACCACACAACACCTAGAACTACCACACAACACCTACAACTACCACACAACACCTACAACAACCACACAACACCTGCCACTACCACATAACATCTACCACTACCACACAACACCTACCACTACCACACAACACCTAGAACTACCACACCAACACCTACCACTTCACCCACAACACCTACCACACAACACCTGAGCCACTACTACACAACCCACTTGCCACTACCCACACAACACCTGCTACCCACACAACACCTGCCACCACACCAACACCTACTACTACCACAACACCTACCACTACCCACACGCACCTACCACTAACCACACCAGCACTACTGCACTGGCTCACTTACACCACTACCACACACCTACTACTACCCACACAACACCTACCACTACCCACACCTCACCTATCACTACCCACATAACACCTACCACAACCACACACCTACTACTACCCACACAAGACCTACCACAACCACACACCTACTACTACCGACACAACACCTTCCACTACCCACACAACTCCTATCACTATAAGACAACACCTACCACTACCCACATAACACTTATCACTATAACACAACACCTACCACTACCACAACACCTACCACTACCCACACAACACCTACCACTACCCACACAACTCCTACAACTAACCACACATAACCTACCACTACCCACACAACACCTACTACTACCCACACAAAACCTACCACTACCCACACAACACCTACCACTACCCACACAACACTTACCTCTACCCACACAACACCTACCACTACCCACACAACACCTACCACTACCCACACAACACCTAGAACTACCTCACAACACCCACTACCACACACCCTACCACTACCCACACAACACCTACCACTACCACACAACACCTACCACTACCACACAACACCTACCTACCCACACACTACCCACCACTACCACTACCCCACAACACCTACTGCACTACCCACAACACACAGCACTACCACACAACACTTACCACTGCACAACACATACCACTACCACACAACATCTACCACTACCACACAACACCTACCACTACCACACAACACCTACCACTAGTATACTATAACACTACTGGAGTATAACACAAGTGTACTATAACATTGTGTAGTATAACACTAGTGTAGTATAACATAATGTAGTATAACATAGTGTAATATAACACAAGTGTAGTATAACATAGTGCAGTATAACAAGAGTGTAGTAAAACACTAGTGAAGTATAACATAGTGTAGTATAACACAAGTGTAGTATAACATAGTGCAGTATAACACGAGTGTAGTAAAACACTAGTGTAGTATAACACTAGTGTAGTATATCACTAGTGTAGTATAACACTAGTGTAGTATAACACTAGTGTAGTATAACACTAGTGTAGTATAACACTAGTGTACTATAACATTGTGTAGTATAACACTAGTGTACTATAACATAATGTAGTATAACATAGTGTAATATAACACAAGTGTAGTATAACTTAGTGCAGTATAACACGAGTGTAGTAAAACACTAGTGTAGTATAACATAGTGTAGTATAACACAAGTGTAGTATAACATAGTGCAGTATAACACGAGTGTAGTAAAACACTAGTGTAGTATAACATAGTGTAGTATAACACAAGTGTAGTATAACATAGTGCAGTATAACACGAGTGTAGTAAAACACTAGTGTAGTATAACACTAGTGTAGTATATCACTAGTGTAGTATAACACTAGTGTAGTATAACAATAGTGTAGTATAACACTAGTGTAGTATAACACTAGTGTACTATAACATTGTGTAGTATAACACTAGTGTACTATAACATTGTGTAGTATAACACTAGTGTACTATAACATAATGTAGTATAACATAGTGTAATATAACACAAGTGTAGTATAACTTAGTGCAGTATAACACGAGTGTAGTAAAACACTAGTGTAGTATAACACTAGTGTACTATAACATTGTGTAGTATAACACTAGTGTACTATAACATAATGTAGTATAACATAGTGTAATATAACACAAGTGTAGTATAACTTAGTGCAGTATAACACGAGTGTAGTAAAACACTAGTGTAGTATAACATAGTGTAGTATAACACAAGTGTAGTATAACATAGTGCAGTATAACACGAGTGTAGTAAAACACTAGTGTAGTATAACATAGTGTAGTATAACACAAGTGTAGTATAACATAGTGCAGTATAACACGAGTGTAGTAAAACACTAGTGTAGTATAACACTAGTGTAGTATATCACTAGTGTAGTATAACACTAGTATAGTGTATATTAGTGTAGTATAACACTAGTGTACTATAACATTGTGTAGTATAACACTAGTGTACTATAACATAATGTAGTATAACATAGTGTAATATAACACAAGTGTAGTATAACTTAGTGCAGTATAACACGAGTGTAGTAAAACACTAGTGTAGTATAACATAGTGTAGTATAACACAAGTGTAGTATAACATAGTGCAGTATAACACGAGTGTAGTAAAACACTAGTGTAGTATAACACTAGTGTAGTATATCACTAGTGTAGTATAACACTAGTGTAGTATAACACTAGTGTAGTATAACACTAGTGTAGTATAACACTACTGTAGTATAACACTAGTGTAGTATAACACTACTGTAGTATAACACTAGTGCAGTATAACACTAGTGTAGTATAACACTAGTGTAGTATAACACTAGTGTAGTATAACAGTAGTGTAGTATAACACTACTGTAGTATAACACTAGTGTAGTATAACACTAGTGTAGTATAACACTAGTGTAGTATAACACTAGTGTAGTATAACACTACTGTAGTATAACACTAGTGTAGTATAACACTACTGTAGTATAACACTAGTGAAGTATAACACTAGTGTAGTATAGCACTACTGTAGTGTAACACTAGTGTAGTATAACACTAGTGTAGTATAACAGTAGTGTAGTATAACACAAGTGTAGTATAACACCTGTGTAGTTTAACAATAGTGTTGTATAACACTAGTGTAGTATAACACTACTGTAGTATAACACTAGTGTAGTATAACACTACTGTAGTGTAACACTAGTGTAGTATAACACTAGTGTAGTATAACACTAGTGTAGTATAACACTAGTGTAATATAACACTAGTGTAGTATAACACTAGTGTAGTATAACACTAGTGTAGTATAACACTAGTGTAGTATAACACTAGTGTAGTATAACACTAGTGTAGTATAACACTACTGTAGTATAACACTAGTGTAGTCTAACACTACTGTAGTATAACACTAGTGTAGTATAACACTAGTGTAGTATAACACTAGTGTAGTATAACACTAGTGTAGTATACCACTAGTGTAGTATATCACTAGTGTAGTATAACACTACTGTAGTATAACACAAATGTAGTATAACACCAGTTTAGTATGACACTAGTGTATTATAACACTACTGTAGTATAACACCAGTGTAGTATAACACTAGTGTAGTATAACACTAGTGTAGTATAACACTAGTGTAGTATAACATAGTGTAGTATAAAACTAGTGTCGTATAACACTAGTGTAGTATAACACTAGTGTAATATAACATTAGTGTAGTATAACACTAGTGTAGTATAACACTAGTGTAGCATAACACTCGTGTAGTATAACACTAGTGTAGGATAACATTAATGTAGTATAACACTACTGTAGTATAACACTAGTGTAGTATAACACTAGTGTAGTATAACATAGTGTAGTATAACACTAGTGTAGTATAACACTAGTGTAACATAACATTAGTGTAGTATAACACTAGAGTAGTATAACACTAGTGTAGTATAACACTAGTGTAGTATAACACTAGTTGTAGTATAACACTAGTGTAGTAGAACACTAGTGTAGTATAACTCTAGTGTAATATAACATTAGTGTAGTATAACACTAGTGTAATATAACACTAGTGTAGTATAACACTTGTGTAGTATAACACTAGTGTAGTATAACACTAGTGTAGTATAACACTATTGTAGTATAACACTAGTGTAGTATAACATTAGTGTAGTATAACACTACTGTAGTATAACACTAGTGTAGTATGACACTCGTGTAGTGTTACGAACCACGCCTCCAATTGTCATGATCTACCTACCCAGCACCACGAGCAACGCCATCTAGGGACGAAACCCGAGTATGACTAGTCTTAGTTACCACTCCGGGGTTTCCCTTCTCCATATAATGGTTGTTGAGTCACCTCCTCCAAGTCTTCCTCATCAGCTCCAATTCGATGAGAGTTCAGTTCACTCTGGGAAGTGACCACAGGATC